TTGCAAATAGATGTTGTAGAAGCCATAAGCAGGAGTAGGGAGGCCTGCATTCATGCGCTCTGGTGCTGCTGGCTGGCCACTGACCCACCTGTTCTGAAGTACGACTGGGCACTGGGTGAGCTGATGATGGAAGCTGTTGACAAACAGCTGTATCTCTTCCTGCATAGGTCTTGTGTTGGCAGGGAAGCTCAGTGAGCAGAGCTTCACACAGTGTACCTTCTTCTGCAGCAGCCCTCAATTATGTAAAGACTTGAGTGGGAAGCTATGGTGACCGTGAACCTCTGACTAGTCCTCAGTGGGTGGTGCCAGTCTCAGTTACTTTGTTGTTGCTATGACAAAACCTCATGACCAGTGCAATTTAGAAAAGAAACGTGGCTTACTATTTCCGAGTGTTACAGTCCATGATACAAAGGGACAGCTGAGAGCTCACATCTTGACCCACAACTGTGAGACTGATTCAGAGCACTGGGAATCACATGTCTTTTAAAAACTCAAAGCCTAACTCCAGTGACACACCACCTACAAGAAATCCATACATCCTAATCCTCCCGAAATAGTTCTGCCAACTGAGGACCAAGTATTCAAACATATGAGCCACTGGGGGGATTTCCATTCAAACCACCACACTGCTTCCTAGCTTCCTTGGAAGCTCTTGTGGAAGGGTGTGCTGGGAGGGAAAAGCTGTCTGGCCTCACAGATGGGGTGGGGATGGGGATGCCAGGGGAGCTCATCTTCTTTACTGTTTTCGAGATTTATTTTAATTGTATGTGCATGTTGTGAATGACTGCATGTCTGCATATCTAACTTACAATTGCCTGGTGTCTTCCAAGGCCAGAAGAGGGTGTCAGTTTCCCTAGTCCTGGAGTTAAGGTGATTGTGGGTTACAAAGAGCTGGGAACTGAACTTGGGTCCTCTGCAAGAGAAGTGAGTGTTCTTAGCAACTGAGTCATCTTTCCAGCTCCAGAACCTCATCTTTTGAGGATTGACGGGGGGTTTGCAAGTAGTGTGACACTTCATTCAAGCGGGGTGGCACTAGAGTAGAGTCCACCATAACCAAGGCACAGAGCTGCTGGTTAAGCTATAGGTTTGGAAGGCCGGGTGGACCCAGAGTGCTGCAGCTGTCTGGGAGGCTCTAATTTGAACTCCAGCTGCAGGAGGTTTGGGAACAGAGGACTGTGCCACTGAGTTAGCTGCTGGGGGCCACTGCCAGGGCATGGGCACACTTTACTCTTGAATCTTGAACTGGACAGAGTGTGAGTGATCATTAGGTAGAGCCTGCACCCACAGACAGTAGCTGCGAACCTCTGACATCCCCTCATCTGGCTGAGAGCCTAGGGGCCAGCTGTAGTGTTTCCAGACAAGACCTGTTGGTGAAGATCCGGTTTCTGTATCTGAACTTTTCCCTGGGTGAATGGACACTGCAAGCGAGAGGTAAGATTCCCAGTGAACTGTCTGGAAACACAGACAGTTCCTCTTTCTTCCACTATACCTGCTTCTCAGGCTGCTCCATAACCTGGAAATGCCAAGCGGGGAGCTCAGCTTAGTGGAGGTAAGATGCCAGCACAAGTCCTTGAGGAAGGGCAGCCTTTCTTCCCAATGGAAAGGCAGGTATAGGAAGAAAAGGCATTTGGTTGTGTACACAGCACGAGGCTGGCCTCAGCCCTGTTCTAGACAGCGTGGGCTTCCTCTGCCTTGCTCTTGACAGCATAGGGCCACTGGGCACCAACTTGGACTCATGGGCTTGCTGTGCTAGGTTATCATCACCTTTGTCCATGCTGGTTTGTCTCTGGGTACCCCCACCCCTGCAGCATATCTGACAGTCCAATCACTGCTTCTTTAACTACCTACTCTTGCCACTGGACTCACAGTACAATGTACTGAATGCTTATCACATGTCTTCCTTGAATCATGACCTGCTGGGGTTCCTTTCCCTAAAAAAACCAGAGAGAAGTCTATGGAGGGTTGCTGAGAGCTGGTGCTTGGTGTGTGTTCATGAAATTGACTCTTGTCCCTGCGTCACAAGATATAGGACCTCAGGGTAATGTGGGGAGCAGGGAACAGAGGCCCTTCTACCAGCTCTCCACAACTCAGCCACTGCTGCCCCAGGCCAGGGTTCAGGTGGCACAGCGGATGGACCAGTGAGGCAGGAACTCCTTCATCTGAAAGCTTTTGCAGTTTCATTATAGCTGACCATGGTTTAAAATATTATATAGAAAATTCCAGAAATAAACAATGTATAAGCTGAAATTGTGCCTTGTTCTGAGTTGTGTGAAGAAACTTCCCACCTCTTATGCATGTAAACTACCCTTTTGCGCAGTGAGACCACACAGTAGATACCGTCTTTAACTGTGTGCTGTCAGTGGCTACCTGGACTGTAAGCCTGACTCCTTGTGTGTGCCTCCCCTTATCTGAGGGCTCCAATGTACAAAGGCAGCAATGACGGAATTGAGACCAGCAAGGAGAAGCTAGGAAGAACTTCCTTGAGGCAGAAAGGAGAAAGTTTTCAACATTACAAGGAAAGAAAATCACATGCCTGCTACTAAGGTCCACAGCCACAGTGAATCTATGCACGAAGGAAGGGAGGTAGCTGTGCTACTATTGCTGCTGTCCCAGAAGCTGCCAAAGTCTAACCCACAGAACCGGTGAGTGCCTACAGTGTTGAAGGCTGCACACAGAGACAATGTACTCAGGCTTTGGGCCACTCAGAATATCATCTACTCATGCGGACCTCTGCTGTGTCTCCCGTGAGTGATGGCAGAGCCTCTATTGGTAAAGGCTTATCCTCTGTAGAGCCTGCATCCTCTCTAGGAATCTTACCTGGCCTATGAGGACTGGTAGGGGGAATGTACAGTTCTGGGAACACAGTGGCCATGGAAGTGGAACCCATGGGAACTCTGGGAGGACACAGAGAGCCACAGAAGCCAAGAGTTATCTGGCCAGAACCTAGACTTTGGAAAAAGTTTGTAGCCCAAGGTGAAACACCAGCATTCTGCCACATTCCTTAGAGGGACACAGTAACAGAGACAGATTTGCAGTCACCACAAAGGCATCTGGAGGGACCCAAGACTATGAACTTGATGGATGCTGACCTCAGGGACTCACTCTTGCTGACAAGGGGGCCCAGACCGTGCCCAAGCCACATCTGGTGGAAGCTTCTGTCATTTTGCAAGGGCTACAGGATGAAGGGTGGGAGGCAGCCTTTGTGTACATATGGTTTCAGCAACTTGGAAAGCTGAAGCAGGGAGATCACTTGAGTCCAGGGGTTTGGAGGCCATCCTGGACAACAGAGGAAGTCCTCATCTTAGACCATATCAAAACAGAAGCAGAACAAAGCCCTAGGAAAGGAGGCAGGCACCACTGGAAGCAGATGAACAAGGGAAGAACACTGTTCCTCCCAGGCTTTAATGATGGGGAGTCCCTCTTTTTTTTTTTTTCTCCTCGAGACAAGGTTTCTCTGTGTAGCCCTGGCTGTCCTAGAACTCACTCTGTAGATCAGGCTGTCCTCAAACTCAGAAATCCGCCTCTGCCTCTCACGTGCTGGGATTAAAGGCGTGTGCCACCACTGCCCAGTGGAGAGTCCCTCTTGATGGTCAGTGGCAATGAGTGAGTGATGAACAGTCTGTTGCCTTGGCTGCCTGGACCCATTTCTTGCTACACTGGCATGCGAGCATGGGTTTGATTTGGCTTCTGGGGAGGGGGAAAGAGCTCTCTCAACTCCCTGGATTCAGATGCTGTCCCATAGACCTTCTGACTCTCTGACTGACCATCAGGCAGGAGCAGATGTGGAAGGGTATGCTGTAAGGGCTGGAGGAGGTAGGGTTCTGGATTTTTGTCTGCGTCCCACCTTGCCAGCAGTCCAGAGGAAGGGACAGGATATAGAGGCTCTGATCTACTCAGTGTGAAGGGTCAGGATGGACATCTGAGCTTCCTGCTTGTGCAAGCCCTGAACCAACCACTTAGAGTTTCCTAGAACCATAGCCGAGGGCAAGAACACATGTCTCTCCTTGACCTTCAGTCTCCCGTGGGGAACTCTCAGTCTGTACTGAAAGTAAGAGTGGCAATAACAAAGCCTTGTCCTTCCCTCTCACACATCCTTCATAGCTGACAGAGCCAGCCCTCTTTGCCAGCAGTGACAGCACATGGAATATATATGCTCCACCGTGTTTTACTGAAGGCTGCAAGTGTGCACTGTGCAGCAGGTGGCGCTGGTCCGGTCAGCGCATCAGTGCTGAAATGGCTGTTTGTAGGAACCTGGCTATAATGACCTAAAAGGTAGTGCTGACTTTTTTGGTTGAAAAGCTGACTACAGCAGGAGTGAGCATGAACAGCACTAGTAAATTAAAGCCAGAGGCCAGCAGGTTACACACACACTTGGCTACCTCATTGCAAAGCAGCCATAGGAAAATGTCAGGGAATGAGTTTGGCTGTGCTCCAATAAAACTATTTGCAAACTAAGTGCTGGGCCACAGCTTGCACAGATTCTGTAGGGAATTTGTTCCCATCTAAGGTGGATTGCATCTATATAAAAACTCATACAGAGCATTAGCGATATTTAGTTCTATAGTTAAAAATCCCTCTAAGGACACAGGCAGCATAGCATGTATTTCAAAAGGCTAGAAGCAAGGATTTTGAACACTTTCAACATACAGAAGTGACGAATATTGGAGGATACAGGTATGTTTCCCCTGATTAGAATACTACACAGCATGTACACTGAAACACAACATGATAACTTGACTTCATGTGTCAGTTAAAGTTAATTAAAATATAGAGAATTTATATACGCCTGTGACAGAAGCCAACAGCCAGGTATAGCAGTGGTGTCACTCATTTCCAGCATGATTGAGATGGACCATTACCTCCAACACATCTGCATACCGACTAAGCATAGCTATGCAGAAACCACAGCTAATCCCTGCAGTGCATGGGTTCTAGGCAGTTATCCACACACACCACATCTCCACATCACCTTACCCCACTGTCTCAGGAGCCAGACAAACCTTGTTCTCTCTGTTGGTCTCTCTGTTCCATGGACACTAGGGCTGAGAAGTGCGCTTGATCGTAGGCCAGAACCAGGGGTGAGCAGTGGCACCTGTTAGGAGGGACCTCCAAGGGCAGGTAGATCCCTCCAAATGGGATGGGTGCAAATGCTGTGGACACAGACACGGGGAGAGGTGGAGGGCAAGAGTAGGGCAGGGAGTGCAGAGAAAGGGAGGGGAGGGTTGGTGGTAGGGAGAGGGGGCAGGGGAGCAGAATTAGTGCTCAGGGCTAGGACTGGAGGTTCCCACGGTGATCTGTCTGGATAGCCTGCTCCTGAGAGCCACACCATAGTTAAAGAGTGGCAAGGTTGGAGCTAAGACCATGCCCAGGATGGTTGGTGATGCCCAACCATAGCTTGTCTAGAAGTTCATTCTGTCCTTTCTCTTCCAATGTCACTGAAATGCCCACACACCAGGCAGGACCTATATTTCCTGAGTGTGTCTGGTGTGTATTTTGAAAACAAGTTCTATGGAACAGGAAGGGTCAAGCCAGAGAGCACTGGTACTGAGCTGTAGATCAGGTGGAACATGAGAAATGGAGACTGCATCTTCATGTGACTAGATACCATCTTGTTCACTTTCTTCTGAGACATGAGGGAAGGGGAGTCTGAAAACCACTTCTATGAACAACTGCCTGAAGCAGTAGCTGTTTCTTTTCTTTTTTTTCACTGAAACAGGATCTCATGTAGCCCCCCATTCACTATGTGGCAGAGGACGGCCTTGAACTTGAAGTTCTCTTGACTTGGCCTCCCTAAGTGCTGGGACTACAGGCATGTACCACCGTGCCTACTTTATGTAGTGCTAGGATGGAACCAGGGCTTCCTGCATGCTAGGCAAGCAGTCTACCTGAAGAGCCACACCCCAAGCCTAGCAGCTGTTTTTTTTCTTTTTTTTAAACCACCATGAACAATATTGCTTTTGGCCTCAGAGTGGGGATTGCATCCTCCTTGTTGCAGAGCACAGGGGCTTTTAGAATGTTCTCTGTTCTCCGAGGATCTCTTCATTTCCCTGCTTCTGTCACACAGTCTGTACTGGACAGAATCATTCTGCCCATACAAAGATCCTGCTTTGAGAATCTTTTAAAGAAAAGGAAGCAAGGACAGGCTGCAGAGGGCTGCTGGCTCTGGTCCCCGGGAAGAGAGCAGTGCTAGGCAGGATGTATGTTCTCTGCCCTCATAGAAGCTATGGTCATGCTGGTTTTTCTCTGGCTTGAAAACCAATGCTTTATTTATTGGCAGGACTCTGAGAGACCTATGGGACAGACTAAAAGTTCAGTGGAGCTGAGTGAAATGTCACAAGGCCACTGGTTGATTGGAATGCTGTAGTAAAGAGATGTTGTGGACAGTGTCCACGAAAGTGACCGACAAGAAGAAATGGCAGCAAAGGGAACTGGATGGCACTGGTGCTACCAAGGAGATTGGAAAATGAATCACATTGCAGAAAGTGCTGGGAGTCAGGTCTGCTGAGTGGGACAGGATCTGGGGACAGCTTTCCTGGCTCTCCATCTTTTCTGACTCTTCAGAGCATGGCCAGCCCTGTGGCATTCCGGGCATTCTCACTACAGTTCTTTTGACTCCCAGGCTTCAGGCTTAAGGATGACCTGTGAGGATATATGGCTTGTCTTGGGCTAAACCTGGATGGGGATATTGTCTGGTCATCCTGAGCATCAGTGTGCTTATTCATCTGGGGAAGACTGTGAAAGGCTGAGGGAGGGGACATTCAAGGAGAAGTCAAGTACAAGCCAGGGTCTCAGTGGACCAGCAGCAGCAACTTGGCTACTCTGAAGAGACTTCACCACCCACCAGAAGCTCTATACTTTGCCTTCCTTCCTTTCCTCTCTAACATTCTATCCTGCAGAACCTCTGGAACAGGGCCTGGGACTTTTGGAGGGATCTGTGCTATCTGTGGTGCTTGGCCAGATTTTTCATGGCCACTTAATGATGTCATGCAGGGCACGTAGTCAGGAGCAGTTGCTGCTGCCCTGGAGGAAGAAGAAACACATGAAATAATGCTATCTTTGTGTGTGTCTCAGAGGGACGAGATGACTCTGCCAATGTGCAGGTAGATTTCACCCTTTCTGGGCCACTATTAATTATGGCTCCTTGATGATCCTACCTTCTCCACCAGAGTCTCTTAGCATGGTGTCTGCCACCACCACGATGGGTCTCCGTAGTATGTGGGCTAGGACGAAGACATGGAACTCTTCCAGGCTTTCATATACAGGGTCCTCAGAGTTGTCCACACTAGGGAACACAACAGAGAAATCTTGTCATGAGACTAGACTGGGGTGGGGAACAGAAGAGGCAGGGAAGGCTCTGTGTAATGTAGGGACTAAGCACTCCCAAACACTGCACCCTACCTTCCATGATCTGAGGACCCTTCTAGGAACAGTTCTGGGGAAGAGATCATGCGAAGGCTGTCTGAATTCTATGCTGGGGGTAGGAGGAGGATGAATGTATAGCTTCACACTCACACCCTCCCCAGCCTGGGTCCAAGCTCCTGCCTGGCCTCAGGTAGAGTAGTCATCCAGGCTGTGAGACACCAGAGAAGACTGTGACCTAGATGTCCCTCAACAACAGGGCCACCCTCCAAGGAAAGAGAGCCAGAGCTCTTAGATGAGGGGACCTTGTGTAAATCTCCTACACATGAGGACAGTGTACAGCAGGAGGTAATAAATTCTTGGCTTTCCATACCCCAGGCTCCAGGAATCAGTTCCTTGAAGACATCAAGGGAACAAGGGTGGCCTTGGGGGCTGGGATGACTGGGAAAGAGCTCCAGGCTGCAAATCCTAAGAAATGCACCTTTAGGGGAGATCCAATGTTGTATTATGTTTTTCTTTTTTCTTTTTCTTTCTTCCTATTTTGCCATTTTTTTGTTGGCCAAGGAACTTTATAGTAAAACATGTGGCAACAGTCAGAAGTCACAAAAACTCACATAGAACCACCTAAAAGTTATTCTTCAGCCTGCCACCTCTTTACTTTGAGAGGGTCCGAGTGCTCCTTGTTTACAGAGCCACATTTGCCACACCAGGACACAGCCATCAAAACAAAGCACTAACATCTGCCCACAGGTCTGCTCACTGTGGTCTCACCAACACCTTCAGGACCCAGGATCCAGCTCAGGGCTGTGAGCTGCTTTCTCCTGAGGTCTACTCGGTCTTCCTCAGCCTGCAGCACTGCTCTGCGACACTTCTGAGACACAACCACAGGCCAGGTGTCTTGTGGGACTTTCTCAGTCTGAGTCTCTCCATTGCCTGACCATGACGTTAGACAAGGGTCTGGACTTGTCCTCGCAGGTGGTGTGATATGCAGGTTGTCCTCCTACAGTGGCGGGGCCTTGGTCACTGGCTCTTCTTCCAGCCACAACCTTCTGAGCTGCTCAGGCCACCTCTACCTATGCCATCAACATGTGATCCACAGGGGAGCTTAGAACCTCTGCACATCTCCATTCCTTCCCAAGCTTGTTGTTGTTGGCAGTACTGTGGATTTCTGGTTTTATACTTTCATTAAATGGTTTATAATCCATTTGCGATGTTTTGATGCTCAAACACATTGATTTGGCCATTGTCGCTTATTTCAGCTTGGTCTATGTCCTTTTGACTTCTCCTTGCCATTCTTTTGGATCACCTTATTCTTTCCTGGCACAAAAAGATGGACAAAATTCTCTCTC